CAGGCGGGGAAAGAGATATCGATCTGTCTAGACACCGTCGAAAATTCGTTCATGGTCTCGTTCGTAGTGAGAATAACGACGTACAGCGGACGCATCACGAAGTCCCTGTATTTCTTGGTCTCGCGTGACATCCTGGAGAAGCTTACGACCATCGTCAAGATGCCTTGTTGCGAGAAAGCGCGAGTCCATATGTAAGTCAGCGACGCGTAATTGAAATCTGCAAGAATAATTGTTCCGCTCTCACCTCTTTCTGGCGAGCGATCTGACCGGCGAAGAAAGTATTCCGAGTTGGAAATATAACGGTGCAGTATTGACTACGCGTTCACATGAATTAATTCAAGTAATACAGTTAATCCCACTACTTTCACACGCACAGTTTTCGAGAAGAGTGAACAAGACTCACCGGTACTGTTATCCGAATGCACAATTACGATGCAACTTGTCCCGTAATAGTTACGAACATCCTTAATAAGGAGAGTATAACTGTGAGCGTCATTTACATCCGTCACGAAACCTGGCACTGGCAAAAGCAGCAATGCGATGATAACGCAACGAATCATCTGTGCCATCTCGCATCGAATATAAACGATCATCAAATCGATTGATGATTAATGCAATAGTAGAAGCAGTATTTAATAACTTTCTGTTTCCACCGATTCATCCATTCCCATGCGAATTTTTACAATTTGCTCGATTCTCTTTCTCAGCACTTGCTCGCTCCCAATGGTGACTAGTGTAACTAAAATAAAGCATAAAGAAACTCTAACTGCGGCTGTTATGATTTATCGAGTTTACGGATCAAGGGACAGGGATCGTATCTCATTAGGTACATTAATGTCCCAACGAATGCATCAACTGCACAATTATGTGCTTTATGTGTATACGAAGATTAACATCGACAGCTGTAATACGCGTTGCAACGTCTGCATGCATTTGTATCGGGAAATCGGGAAATGATTTAGTGGACGCTTTTACGAGTGTTAACGTTAGACTGTAACATTCATTTCGTAAAAACGTGTTACATTTAACCGAGAACACGCAATATACGCAATTCGGAGGTATAAGGAGATAAAGGAAAAACGCATAAAATTAGTGCTCGGTATCTCTTTATTAAGAACATCACTATTTGAAGTTAATTAACATCGCGTGCATGTATTTCACTGTAACACAATTCTACAATAAGTATGATCAGTGCGAACACGGCACCACCTGCGAATATTATTAACGCAGACGCAACGCTAAAGATTCCGACCGGTTCAAATTTGGTCTCCTCATAATTCATAGAGATTTTCCGCGAACTCGTCAGACCCGAATGTACAATCTTCTGGAGACTACAAAGTAACGATGAATGTTTTTTAATTATATTGTTAGAGAACAGAAGGAAAGCGAGTAAAACATCTGATAAATACTAACTAGTAATTTATGATTGAAGTGTACTGGCTGNTTTCACGTTAACTGGTAATGCATCAGGTGGTTTCAGTACCTTCTCGATTCTTCTTGACAATCTGTCTGATGATGACTAAAAAATTAAATTTTTTAGACACGATTCTTTTCCTATTATGTTCCGTTACAGATTAGGTCTACTCGTACAGTTTATCTGTAGTCGCACCAATAGTTGCAGTGCAATTGCACAACGCGTGAGTGAAGGTAAAAACATATCGTGATCGAATTATCTATATTTGGACCAACTTACGGTGAACGTGTCGTAATAGGCGGAATCTTTTTCAACGATGATCTTGTATGAGCCATCGTTCAGGAGCTCGTCGATTGTACGTAAAGAATCATCGTGGACGGTGCCCGTTAAAAAAGATATGAGAGAAGCAGAATAAGCAGCGGTCGTCACAAAACTCGTAATTAACACAGCTAAGTATGCTAATCTCAACGACGAGTAACGTGGGACATCTGTAGAAATTATATCATAAATATTTTCCGAATTCATTAAAATTTTCAGCTTACCTGTAATGCCTTGCTGACAAACGATGCTCCAAATTCGCATGAACTCTTCGATTAGTAGCTGCTTTGAATTAGTAGATTCTACACAAGCTCTTATGAAAGTCGAAACAAACGGAGTAATTACTGTTGTCATAATTATACACATCCAAAGACAGAAACTGAAAGCCTAAGGACGGACGTATTTTAACAGCTACGAATATTTAATGATATCGAAATTATTAGTGTATAGATACCCTGAAATAGGCGAACCATTTCACCGCAATCATTTGGGGTTGCTTTACATAGATATAATGTGCTGCTGTAGCAATGGGAATCGTAAAATCAACGACACCAAGCCTATTAGTAGTCATCGAGAAAGCACATAGACTAATGTCTACCTGCCCTGAAGCTACCAAACTAAATGCTCCATTCCAACGCTTCGTCGACACGTTATAAATTCCAAATACTTTTTCTTCAATTACAGTGCCGATAGTGAAATTTAGAACCTTCTGAAGAGTTTCGACTATATTACCAATATATCCTTCCATTTTGCCATTCTTCATCGTAAATAACATCGTATTCTATAACAAGTGAGAAACGGTCACACTCTGAACATTTTTGCATGTAACGATTTCGTTCGAATTTTAATCAATACTGTGCAAAACAAAGTACAAATGTAGGTACATCTTGCCTTGGTAGTAACTGCTTTCAGGACTCTCCCTCTAAAATCGTTTCTCCTTTCGTACACGCTTAAATTTGTCAACATCTCAAATTGTGATGATTTCCCATCGTGATGCCATTTTAAAAAATCGGAAATCTCCGTATTCTTTCCGTCTATCGAATACCATTCGCGTATAACAGGGTCGTCTACACACAGTACCAGCATTTCAGTATCGAGCATCAAATTAAACATATTGTCACGTGGAGAGTAACAATAAGAATCCATTCTGCTTGGCGACGGCAGAAAAAGCACGAGCCACGTGAATGAAGACATTTTTATGTCCATTGTACGATTAGCAAATTCATCGGCTGCTCGTTTATTCGGTATGAAAACGATGATCAACGGTCGAAGATTCTTGTAATGTTTCGTGAGCTGAATAATATTCTTAAATGTGCCGCATGCCGTTGCTATCTGTTCGCGGTGAAGAAGACGAGTCCAGTCGAATATTACATGTTGTATTATAAAATCTAAGTGTCACAAAAAATATTTTACACATAGCAGAAGGATTCAAAGAACGAACAAGGAAAAGACTCAAAAGCCATTACCACCGAAATGTTTCTTATTCGTGGTTCCTGGATGTAATATGTAAACAGAGGAAGTTGAATGAGAAGTATGAATAAATTTGATCAAAGTGAGGTAATCAGATACTTCATTCATCATATCTGCACCCGTTAAATGAAAATAAATCGAGACGAAATTGAAGTACA